TTGGTTTACCGTGTGTATATATATAATAGGAGCTTTTCAATTTTTTAGTACGAATATGTATGACAATGAGTTTGTGCAAGGAAAAAGGAAGGGAACTCACTACCAATGCACTGAATGTGAGGCTGGTTTACGTGTTCAACCTTGTTTCAGGACATATCAAACAACAGATAATTACAATTTTTTTTATTATATTGTAACTCAAGACATTAAAATTCGTATTTTCATTTTATTATTTTTTTCCATTTCTGTTCTTATCAAAATGAAACTAAACAATTTTAGATTGAAAAACGCGCTTGTGTGTGCCTCTTCTTTTCTTCCAATAAACCGCGTAACAACGCGCGCTTCTGGTAAAATCGGTGGCACATAGGGGTGAATTACGTTGCATTTCCTCAGCAGTTAAGGGGTTAAAGAGTATAGGAAGAAAACAGGGATATAGTACATATACGCCAGAGAAACGGGTCGAATAATATAGAGGAAATAAAGTGCTTAAAGCTAACAAGTAATAAAAAAATTGCCTATGAAACATTTTAATCAAATACAAAAATTTTCAATGTAAATATAACAGTCTGGACTTAACAGCAATATATTTTATTCTACAATATATTAATTGCTCATTCAATTATTTAATTTTTCTGTATTAACATGATCTATATTTCATCTCATATATATATATACAGAGAGAGAGAGAGAGAGATGGAACGCAAATTCTGTAGAAAAGCAAACATATGAAAAACAAGTAAAATCTCAAAATAGTAAATCCCAATGCTAAACATAACAATAAAAATAGAAGTTTTTATATTTATAGAAGTAAATATAGAATAGTTTTAAAATTAGATTAAAAATTTATAAATTAAGCAAGTGCATTCTCGGACTTAGGACTGGAAAATGGGGTTAAATACATACATGTAGAGCTAAATATGGAGTTTTCTTGTTCCACACTTTAAAACCAAAATATTTTTCCATCATAAGAGATTCAGCTATAATAGTCTTAAGTTTATGTACTTCTCATTATAGCAGTTATAAGTTAAAAAAGAAAAATTTCCTATTTTTTTTAAACATTCTTAAATTTAAAGGATGTAGGAACATGCGTTTGTGTTGTGATTTAACATAGACTTGCATCAGTATTGGGATATCTTTCTCTCTCTGTCTCAAAATGTATTCTGATTATTTTGGATCATATTTTTTATATCAGACAAAGGCAGTCTTTAATTTGTCATTAGTTATCTTGTAAATAGTAACAATTTTACATTCCAGGGATTGTTCCGCCAAATGTGCCAACCCCGTCCAGATTGTGCGTCTGTCCACATCGAGGGTCAGGAGAAAGGGACCGTGAAATATCTCGGTCGGCTGCGACCACACGTCAACGCCCGGAGGACCCAGACGGATAAAAAAGGAACGCGAGTGGTCAAGCTACAAGGGGCCTCTCGCGCTCGGCTGGACATCGTCCATCGAGTAAGCGATAATAGGGGGAGGGAAGCGAAGAAATACAGCCGCGGATTATTCATCCAAGAAAACGGAATGGAATTTTTTCTTGGTTCCAGTGGCAAAAGGAATTTGTTAGGGGACTTTCTGAAGTTAATGGATGAAAAACGTGAAAGATCTCGAAAACTTTTTTTATATTCCTAACTGTACTTCTGTATTAATGTCCTTTTTGGCAGCTATGGAACAATTGCAAAGTAAGAATTAAAAAAAATAAAGGGTTGAATGATAATATAAAAATAAAGATGTTGTCTGTGTGTCTGTTTCTTTGATTAGATTTGGCGCCAACAACACACAATACGACGAGAAGCTTGCTATCTTTTGTAACAAAATCTAGAAGAGGAAAAAGAAAAATTCATTATTGAGTGAAATTTATTGTGATATTGAACTGAGTGTTTTGGTTGTTTTTTTAACAATCTTTACTTTCATTATAGAACATTAGCAACGCCCACAAAATACTATTTCATAGATTTTTTTTATTAACTTTAAACTCAAAAGCTACATGAAAGCCTTGGACCAGTGATTCCCAAAGTGGTCTATATAGACCCCCAGGGGTCTATGGCGACCTGCAAGGGGTCCACGTCAGCAAAAAAATAATTTGGGGGTCCATGAGCTGTAAATGGGGGTCTATGATAGTGGCTCTTATTATATAAACTAGATCGGGACTTTAAATTTAAAAGAAAATTTAATCAAGTGGAAACTAAATTTTACCTATTTAACAGATATATTTACTAAATTTAATAGGGTTAATTTCCACTTACAAGGTGACAGCATAAATTTTATTAAAACAAGAACCATTTCAGCATTTCTTTCCGGAGTTAAGCTAAAGAAGTATAATACCGGAGGTCCCGAATTTTCTTAGAATGTCACAATCTGTCAGGGCGTTTTAACCTACGTTCAACATTTAAATGCCTTTAATTCAGATTTTGAAATCAGGTTTGAGAATGCTTTGACAATGGTAATACCACAGTAGGCAATGAATTCATATGGTCACATTGAAAATAAATGCCCCATTACAATAGGAACTGATCGTAATAAGCACTAACGAAAATGTTAAAGTTTGGAAACGGATATCAGCAATTTTGGCTTTGAAAAGGCAAACCTATTATTTGTCCCGAATTATGAAATATCGTGAGAACGTTTTTTTAATCGTTTTTCCTACTGAAAAGCAGCGCGGATGTCAATCTCGAAAACACAAAAAGAAAAACTTAACATTACTAACAGAAGATGTTTAAGGTTAAACTGACAATATCAAAACCAAATGTTGAAAATTTGATATTGTAGTACCAGACTCATCCCTCCTTTTAAAATCATTCATTTATTTACTTTATTCAACATTTATTTTATGTATTAAATAACTTTTAATTTATTTAGCATGCGCTTTTTAAATTTTAATCACTGTACTTCATTACAGTTAGAAATTTAATTCATTTAAACTAGTAGTACCAAATGTCAAAAAGACATTTAAGTTAATAAATTTGTAAAAATTCAATATTAATTAAGCAAGGGGTCTACTCCAAATCGAGAAACATGGCAAGGGGTCTATGACACAAAAAAGTTTGGGAACCTCTGCTCTAGACGACCGAAATCATAATTTTCAGCTATGATCAGTCAACGAGAACAATACACGAGTTGAGACCCCATTTACCGAACTTCTACACCACGTCACCGTGACAGACATTAATAGCCAGCGGGCATCAATCCCTCCACACCAGTGGTTCCCAACCCCTGGGCCGCGGAGCGGTACCGGTCCGTGGTTCAAATGGCACCTGGCCACCCAAGAAACAAAATTATTTCCATTTCATTTACAGTAGAGTATTTCTCTCGGGTTTGTGTGACTTTCCATGGAAATCACTATATATTCCATGTTAAACCACTGTATATTCATTTTTTGGTGTAACAGTATTTTATTCTGAAGACATTAATAAATACAGTTCATTTAAAATTAATTATTAAATCAAAACAATCTGAGATATAAACAATCTACATCCAATAACCTCAGTGAGCTGCGGTTTAATTATCAAACGTTGATCGGTCCGCGGCGATAAAAAGGTCAAGAAGCAGTGCTCAACACGACGGGTATTTATATTGTCACCAGAATTCGACAGAAACACCGCCGGCACACGAGTTTTTGCCCATGATCCCTCGGCCCAAGCGGTCCCATTGTTTAATAGATAAAGGTGTTAAAAATATTGTTTTTTACGAAAAGAAAAAAATGCCAGTTGTGTGGTTTGAACTGACTCTCTAAAGATATAGCATTTGACACGAATGCGGCTTTCATGATACCACAAATTAAAGTAGGATTCATCAGGAAAAAATACTTGCTACCAATCAGCACGTCAGTCAGTCCCTATATCCATGTGTCCATTGTAACCTCACTGAGCTAAAATCGTACTGTCACCTAAATGGCGCTCAAGGCTACGGCCAAAGACAAGAGTACATCTAGCTCCTTGCCAAGATGAATTTAGTGGGCCAGAATCTGACGCAGTTGAGATCAACGCATAAGAAACAACAACAATTGTAACCTCAGGCGTCAATGATCTTGCGTAAGGAGGATCCTGAAAAATGAGTTCTTGTACGCAGTCCACAGATGTCGACTAATTGACGAAGCACCGATACACTTGACCAATGTGCTACCAATTCTGTAGATGAAGCTGTACGGTCCGTCAGCATCACGCGAACCAGGTGCCTATCATTGCTCATTGTCTTCACCTTTCGGAGTTCAACCCCAGAATTCCGATTTGTCTGATTCTTGACGGTTTACTAGTTAAAAACACAGATTACTGTACTGCTATTACACTGCACACGATAAGCTGTTGCACGATATAATATAATCCTACTTTATTATTATTATTTCGTGTCGATGATTCTACCATGTTCTAACTCCACTTGTTAAAATATCAACCTTTTTCGCCTAAGGGGCATAGTTACTATTCACCTAACGTTCCACCTTTTCAATGGCTCGACATAGTGAGTGGGCCCTGGCCCTTCTCCATCAGTTTTCACCTAACGTTCACCACCAACAAAAAACCACCGAGAGTCAGGGTTGCTTTTCCGCTTAGGCACTCTAGACGCATGCCTAGAGCACAAAAAATTGTTGGGCGAAAAAAAAGAGAAATTTTTTTAAAATTAAATCGAATGTACCATTGCCCAGCGCATCACGAGAGAAGCATTTCTGCCCTTTGGAGAGTAAACACTGAAATGAAATCTACTATAGAACAAGTAATGTAATAAAAAAAATTTTAAGTCTATTCTTACTTAGGTCGACAAATAAAACTTTTATTTTACTTACTTTTTATTAAATAGTTACAATCCATCTAGATATGCATATACATATGACAGAATCACAATATTATGTGACAAAATAAAAGGCGATTTTCCTTGCAATTTTCCATTTTCCTTTCTATATAGGGTGTTGGACTATTTTTTTGTTTGTTTGTTACTGTTTGTTCATTAATTCAATTTAATTATTCTACTAAACTAGTATAGTAAAAAAGAAATTACATTCTTAGAAATTAGGCCATCCAAGGTGGAATTCGAAATCACGACCTTTGGATTAGAAGTCCAACGCGCTATCCATTGCGCTACAAGGGACACAACGAACGATTTTCCTTCCTATATATCGTGTTGGACTATTATTTTTATTTCTTACTATTTATTCTTTTTTTAAAATTTAATTAATGAATTAATATTTGAAAAACTGTATTAACATCAAATGTCATGCGCTACAAGTTTTAAAAAATGTATTTGAACTAGAAGGGATGAATAGAAAGTATTTTATTAATGATTGAAAACTTGAATATATATATATATATATATAGGGAGAGAGTGAACTAATAGCAAGAATTGAAAAAGAAAAGCTTAACATTTTGATGTTGCTTTGTGCTCAAAATATCGCAAATACTTTATGTTACAGAGACTTTTCTTAACAAAGAATTAGGATGTACAAAAGTAAAAAGATAGTTAAGCGATAAGCGATGAAAAAGATGATAATTAACAAGTTGAAAACAGTTCACATATTAATGTATACTCCATACTGTAATTGCAAACGATTTCCTTAATTTGCTGTACCAATTTACAAAAAGGTTGGAGGGTGACCCGTAAAACTGTATGGTAAGAAAGGAACAAGGGTAGCCAAATTATGCCACTACAGGGTTGGCAGTCTAAGATATAGTGGGTATATAGGTGGAAGATAATGGAAAGATTTTCCAATGAGAAAAATCAAAAAAGGGAAAAGAACAAAAGAGTCAAGGGAAAACCCTTCCCGAACCAAAACTGGCAAGGTAAGTAAAAGGAAGGGGTGTTCTGGAAATAGCGGGGAAGGGGAAGGTAACAATATAAAGTGTCTAGGGTACCAGGGAGGTTAAAAATGGCCCTGCCGAGAACCATACACGTCTCGCTACAACCGTCAATTAATGCGGATCTATCAACCGTTCAAACGGAGATGCTCTATTCACGCATGCGCAATAACTCAGAAATTCTAGTAATTTGTATATTATATCTTACCTTACATTTGCTGAAATTTTGATAACATGAAAATATAAAAATGTGAAATAAACTTTGAAAGCATGAAACAATAATTAATAATAACAAAATACAAAAATTACAAACCAACACACATATTTAAAAGGAAGAAAAGTAGTAAATTAAACACGAAAATTGAAGGAACCCTGCCAATCAAAAAACAATTTTAGACTTGGGACCGAATAAGTGGGGCTCAACTAGTTTGATAGTACCAACCTTCCCCTTTTCCAACTCATTTGAATACATAAATATACATATATTCTAGATTAGAAACAGCAAAAATTTAAATTGATAATAATTTAAATTTTGGAATTGTCTCTCTCTCTCTCTATACACACACAAACACACACATATATATATAAAGTCTTGATTCTACTTTGTACGATATAGTTTCAGTTTCCTCCTAAAAATGATCTTGCTTCCCCACTAAGAAATAAAATATTTTCTCCACAACACAAAAAAAAAATTCCCTTTTGTCTCCGATATCCAAACCGGAAACAGCTCTAACACCAACTTCCTTTCTACTCCGGTCTTCCCACAGTGGAAAATCCCTGAGATTTGTGTCATAAGTTAGAAGAATAATTCTAATAATTCTGCAGCCTTTCCCCTTCCCGAAAACCAATAGGGAAGTTTGAGGAGAGAGATGAGATCCACCTCCCACCCCAACCCCTAAAAATCGTTTGGAAGCAAACGGGTATATTTACCGATTGCCCCCCCCCCCATTTGTTTATTACGAATCTACCATAAGCTTTTATAGCCAGGGCAATTTGAATTAATGTGAAATGTGATTCGCTCACGACTTCGTCTTATGGTTAGAAGAAGAAACAGGGTCGGATACTAAATATTCTAAGGCAGAATAATAGGGAATTTTAGTGCCTCGGCCATGATGGATATGTCTCTATTGATGTATTTTTTGTTTCTCGGTTTACTTGGTGGGGTACAATGGTAGGGGTTCATTGCTTACTCATGCAACCAACAACGTAAGGAGGAGTCCTGGATTTAATTTATTGCATGCGGTCACTGAATGATCTAATTTGCTGTTTGCTTCGCTCGTATTTATTGTTCTATTGCTGAGTTTATTTGGTGGGTGAAAGTTATTGTCGTCCATTGCGTGAATGTAGAAAGAGATATAAAAATGTGACAACCCCTACTATAGGCTTTTTAATATCGTCTGCTTCGTAATTAAATAATTTATTTCCCCTTTTTCGTTGCTGCTCGATCTTTGGGTATGTTAATTTTGTTTTTAATGTTCGCATCATTATTTACACAAATACAAAACCATTTGAATTTTGAATCTTTTTTGTTACATTTGATCCTTGTCTGGTCCTGCTTGTAATCGAATTGAATTTTTTTTAAATTATCAATAGCAATTATTCTTTAGATATTTTAAAAAATTAAAGCTGAAAAATATATCTTAAGAATAATAGATATGCAAATAAAGATAACTACTAGTTAAAACATTCGAGAAGGAAAATTTAAAAGTCAAATACAGTAACCGCTTCTACAATTCCTTCACAGAGTCACAAAAGATTTGTTGAATAAATTGTACCTGATTTTCATATTTAAAAAAAATAACATTGATAGTTTTTTGTATATTTGTTTTATTCAACAAAAATAAATTAACATTAATCAAAACAAAATATATAGTATTAACACGAAATAGATATTTTGCTTCGAGCTTGTAAATGCGAAAAAAAGTCGAAACATGCAGTATTTGAAATTGGCATAACTGAATGTTTTCTATAATAACAAACTGAAAGAGTGATCGGAACCTGTAAAATTAAAACAAAGCTAGTTTTAAGATAGGTTGCAAGTTTAAAATATTCACAGTTTAATTTTTGAATTTATTGATCATACTGAATGATTAATTGATTAAAAACTTACTTAATTTTGAACTTGATCAAGTAACGCGAAAGACAGTTGAACTATCCATCTCAGTCTCCGTAATTTCCCATCATTCCAAAAGTGTACTTTCAACCACAACAGAGAGATTTAACTTATATCAATCTCTGTACGCATGAATGTATAATAGTATCAGGACTCAATAAAGACAAGGTTGGCTATTACTTCACCGGCTTCTATTATCTATGTTACCATTAAAGTGTGAAATATGTTATTTCATAGAATAACTAGGTATTCCATGAAATAACTAGACAAGTCAGGTAAAGTAGATAAAATTATTGAATTCTACGATTTAACTAGGTATTCTATAGAATAACGATTACTTGATCGTTAAAGTATGAAATACGGTACTCCAAAATTCCTTGAGCCGGTTCTAGCTGCTTTTGGAAGGTTTTTTCCGGTTAGGAACTAGAGATGGCCGAATAAAACAATTGTACTCGAGATATCAGTTCAGTATATGTCAGTAAGAATTAGTTTCCATTGAAGAAGTTCCAAATGTTGACACAACGTTTCGATCTGTTGTAACAGTTCAAAGTTGCGGTACTGAAATAAGATTTAAAAAGTTCTCATGTAGAAAATGTGTAATGGTAAAAAGTGGGCTAGTATCAAAAATAATAAGCAATCCAATCTAATAAATAATGAAAGTAAAATAAAGATATCTCATAAAATTTAAATTAATATTCTCATACATTTTTGTTTAAAAAGTTTGCACAATATTTTTGTGAAGCAACAGTTTTCCTTCCCTGCATGTAATTTTGTTGATAATATTTAAATATAATCTATTTTTGCAGCATATTCTTTTTCCTCTTTATGTTTAACTAACGTAAGCCATATGAGCAATAATAAATTATATTATCTGTTTTCCCTTACTATTTATCAATTATTCATCCACAAAAGAGATAAAATGTATTTTACGAGAGATTTTAGCTATTGAGGATCAATTAATTTATAAAATATCTTTGAAATTGTTTATTTTTCTCTTTAGAGATCCATTCTTAGTTATTTCATAAAATACCTAGTTATTTCATAGAATAACTAGGTAAAGTATGAAATCTATCATCTATTATATACTTTAAATGACTTGTCTAGTTATTTCATGAAATACCTAGTTATTCTATGAAATAATTGAATTACACTATTTAACAATAACATATATAGAGGGAGAGAATCTAAACATATATCTTAAGGTTAATGACTACATTCGGAAATTCATTTCAGAAATTCAAGTCCTTTTTAAATTATGAGGTGAGGACAAAAAGAATATTTTTCAATACAATCAAAATCTTAATCAATAAAATCAGAATCATACTTATCAAAATCTTAGATATCAATACCTTAAAAACAAAAAAAAATCAAACATCAGGAAATATCCTATGAAGCGGGCGGGTAAAGGCTAGTTAGTAATATTTTCATTCATTCTCTATTTTTTCAAAAGAAAAAGTACTTTATTTAATATAGTATTCTATGCATGAAGAAACGGAAACAAACATAAAAACTTATAGTACAACTTAGTAATTCATGCTAAAGAGGGAAGATTTCGAGAAAAATTCGACTCCCGTTATTTCTTAAACTGTACTTAGGGAATTTCTTACTTAAAACTTTCCCTACAGAAAACTAAGCCATCCAACTTTCATTTCATATCCAACTACGCGGCGCGCGTTTACAATTTCTCTCCCCTTATGATCAATTTCTATCCCTATCTTGGTGCGAAAGAACCATTGACTTATCCCTACAGGCTCTCCCAGAATGAGCTCATATGAGAATGGAGGGGAAAAAAAGACTGGTCCGCTTGGAGACAGGCAGAAATCAATTTCTTGTGGTTTCTCTCCCCTAAGTGTAGGGGGAAGCATTACTAGAGATTAAATTTAATGGAGTCAGAACTCATATCGTGAAGTACTTACTACAGGATTCTACTCATAAAGTTTCACAGGGGAAATATATACTGGACTATTAAAAATAAATATCTTTCTAATCTGCTCTGGAATTTGGATTCGGGGACATGATTTGAATTTCTGGCGGCAGAAATTTAGCATTTTAGGATAGATGTTCGCTGTCTTTTAGTGAACTGGATAGGGAATATGCAAGAACGAGAGATAAACTTATTTCATTTGTTTTTGTAGCGTCATGTATTGAACAAAAATGGCGAATCATGACTTTGAATAGTGTACA